TATATTATGACTCAGTACCAAATTTCAGTTATAAAGCAGCAATGAAATAGTTGGTTCATAGAATGAATATGGTTGGGGTGTCACCATAACATGAGGAACTGTATTAAAGGGTCACAGGATTAGGAAGGCCGAGACCCACTGTTTGGGCAGTGCTGTGGATGGAACATAGAGCTGTTTGCATATTAAGAGGTGTTCTGCCACTGGGCTGTATTTAACCCTGTTGGAATAAGTTTTGTTGTTTGTTTTGTTTTAATTGTGGGGCTGAAGATATGCCTTAACAGTTAAGAGCACTTGTTGTTCTTACAGGAAATCTGTGTTCAATTCTCAGCACCAACATGGCATCTCAAAACTCTAACTCCATAGTCCTGTTCCAATGGATCTGACACCCTCTGCTGGCCTCTGCAGGCACACAAATGGCACACAGACATGCATATAGTTTAATTCAAGTCAGGCTATTCTCTTGAGTTTGGAGCTAGGCTATTCTACATAGTGACTTGAAGACCAGCCAGGGCTACTGAGTGAGACCCAGTCTCAAAAACAAATGCCCCCAAACGTCTTTTGTTTTTGGTCTGTGCCTGAGTGCTGACATTCGCATGCATGGCATACATGGGAAGGTGGTAGCTCTGCAGAGTCAGTTTTTCTCTTGTCACCTGTGGGGACTGAGGATCAGATCTGAAATCACCTGTCCCTTCTAAGCCATCTTTCCTGGCCGCAAACATTTTATAGTAAAAAAAAAAACCAAACAAACAAAAACAAAACAAAAACCCAGGGGACTGGAGAGATGATGGCTCAGTTAGACAGCACTGTTTGCTCTTCCGAAGGATCCAGGTTCAAATTCTAGTACCTGAATGGGAGCTTACAACTGTCTGTAACTCAGGTTCCAGAGGGTCTGGCTTCTCCACACCACCAGGCACACATGTGGTGCACAGACATACATGCAGGCAAGCACCCATGCACATAACAACACTGGGCTGGTAGCTTAGTGGTAGTATTTGTGTAGCATGTGTGAAGGAGGCCCTGGGGGTCCTCAGGAGAATAGAAGACTGGATGTTTTATAGTTGTTTTGCCTGCTGTTAAATTACTACATTTCTTTTCCCATGTTTCTGTGTCTGTGACAGGTATTTGTGGACACTGTAGGAATGCCAGAGACATACCAGGCTCGATTACAACAGCGCTTTCCAGGGATAGAAGTGACAGTCAAGGCCAAAGCAGACTCCCTGTTCCCTGTGGTCAGTGCTGCCAGCATCTTTGCCAAGGTTAGCATCCTGATGGCCAGGGCCCACTCCCAGCATCTCCCTCCTATAGGAACAAGCAAGATTCCTGTGAGGAGGGAGGCTCAAAGCTACTGTCTTGCCTGCAGGTAGCTCGAGACCAGGCTGTGAAGAACTGGCAGTTTGTGGAGAATTTACAGGAACTGGACTCCGATTATGGCTCAGGCTATCCCAATGGTGAGCTGAGGACAGTGGTCCATCTTGGGAATGAATTTTCTTCCCTTTTCTCCTTCACCCCCCTGTGTGTCCCCCACCCCCTTACCCCATGTAAGTAACATAAACTTGTCTTTAACTTTCTTTGTAGCCCAGCTGGAGGTGGTAGCCCATGCCTTTAATCCCAGCACTTTTGGGGTGGAGGCAGATGGGGATATCTGTGAGTTCAAGGCCAGCCTGGTCTACAAAAGGGATTCCAGGACAGCCAGGGCTACACAGAGAAAAAGCTTTTCTTGAAACTAATCCCCCCAACCCCCATCAAAAGAAGGAGGAGGAGGAGGAAGAAGAGGAAGAAGAGGAAGAAGAAGAAGAAGAAGAGGGGGGAGGAGGAGAAAGAGGGGGAGGGGTAAAGGAGGAGGAGGAGGAGAAGGAGAAGAAAAGAAGAAGAAGAAGATTATTTCATGTAGCCCGAGTTGTTCTCCAGCTTTATTGTTCTTTTCTTTAATTTTTTTTTTCCAGACAGGGTTTCTCTTTGTAGCCCTGGCTGTCCTGATCTCACTTAGTAGACTAGGCTAGCCTTGAACTCAGAGATCTGCTTACGTCTACACCGCAAATGCTGAGATTAAAGGCGTGTACCACTACCACCCAGCCTTTTCTTTAATTTTTAAAAACTTTTATAATACTCAGGAGGCAGAGAGTTTCTTCTCTTTTATGTATACAGTGTTCTGCCTGTTCTCCAGAAAACCTCACAAGAACTCATGATAGACAGTTAGGAGCCATCAGAGCAGCCAGTGTTCTTAACCTCCAAGCCATCTCTTTAGCCCAAAAGGAAATATTTTCAAAAAACAAAATTGGGGTCTGAAGAGATAGTTCAGTGGCTAAGAGCAGCTGCTGCTCTTGCAGAGGACCAGAGTTCAGTTCCCAGCAATACACTGGGCCGCTCACAGCTGCCTGTAATCCCAGCTCCATGAGATCAGTAGCCTCCTGGGAAATGTGTGTGACATTCACACTCACACACACACACAGAAAAACATGCATACACATTAAAATAAAAACCAGAAGGGGTGTGGGCCGTGGGTTCATTCCATACTTTTTCCACACTGAGATTCCAGTCTCAGAAACACCCCCAGAACTTCTTAAGCAATAGTGGGACACAGAATAGGGGATGTGTGTGTGTGAGGGGGTGTGGGGGGTGGACCACACTTGCCTAGGCTAAGGACCTGGGACAATAAGAAACTTAAGTAAACAGTGGAGGGTGTCTTGGTACTCAAGAAGCCAAAGACACAGACCCTTAATCCCAGCTCTGGAGGCAGAAGCAGATGGATGGCCAGCCTGGTCTACATAGTGAAACTCCATTTAAACAAGCAGAAGAAAGTAAAGCAGGATGAATGTAGCATATGCCTGTCACCTGTCACCTGCCACTCTGATGCTGTTACCATTACTTCTGTCACCCTAGATCCCAAGACCAAAGCCTGGCTGAGGAAACATGTGGACCCTGTGTTTGGCTTCCCCCAGTTTGTGCGGTTCAGTTGGAGTACAGCCCAGGCCATCCTGGAAAAGGAGGCAGAAGACGTCACCTGGTTTGTGTCCTGAGAGTGCTGAGGGAACAGACTAGGGGGGTGGAGGCCATGCATTCACTCGGCCCAATGGGAAGTGGTCAGTCATTCCTCTCTCCCGCAGGGAGGATCAGTCATTCCTCTCTTCCGCAGGGAGGACCAGTTATCCCTCTCTCCCGCAGGGAGGATCAGTCATTCCTCTCTTCCGCAGGGAGGACTCAGCAGCTGAGGAGGATCCTGATCGACCTGGAAGAATAACCTCCTACTTCAGCCAGGGCCCACAGACCTGCCGCCCTCAGGTCCCCCACAGATACTTCCAGGAGCGAGGCCTGGAGGCAGCCAGCAGCCTCTGAGAGCCAGTGTCTGCACCCGACCTTCTAACTCAGGAATAAAAGCTGTTCAGGAGTGGACGGAGTGGTTTTTGGCTGAGGTCTGATAGGCGTGCCTGTGGCTAGCAGCTGATTCATCAAACAGAATAGGCTCCCTCCCCCACCCCACCCCCAGGGTTTCTCTGTGTAGCCCTGGCTGTCCTGGAACTCACTCTGTAGACCAGGCTTGCCTCGAACTCAGAAATCCGCCTGCCTCTGCCTCCCAAGTGCTGGGATTAAAGGCGTGCACCACCACTGCCCTGCTCAGAATAGGCATTTCTAGATTGGTGCAGTTTTTTTTTAAAGAATTATGTATGTGAGTACACTGTAGCTGTCTTCAGACACAGCAGAAGAGAGCATCAGATCCCATTACAGATGACTGTGAGCCACCACCATGCGGTATCACTGTGGAGCACTGTGCTGGAACTCACTGTAGACCAAGTTGGTAGTGAGCTCACAGTGACTTACCTACCTCTGCTGAGATTAAAGGTGTTTACATGCCCACAGTTTTTTTTTTTAATTTTAAAATTATTTTTGTGTTTGTGTATATGTCTTTGTGTGGTTATACACACACATATGAGTATGCACATGTAAATGCAAGTGCCCCTGAAGGCCATAGGCTTCTAATTCTGGAGCTGGAGTTAGAGACAGTTACCTACTCTATGTGCTGGGATCGGAACTCACTGTACGCTCCTAACCATTGGATTGCTACAGCCCACATATCTTTTGTGCTTCCTGGTTTGTTTTTGTTTTTGTTTTGTTTTGTTTTTTGTTTTGAGACAGGGTTTCTAAGTAGTCTTGGCTGTCCTGGAACTTGCTACATAGACCAGACTGTACCACATCCGTGCAGTACTTAAGGGAGCCAGAAGAGGGCACCAGATCACCTGCAACTGGAGTTGGAGGTGGTTTTGAGCCACCTTGTGGGTCTTGGGAATTAGGTCCTCTGGAAGAACATTATTTCTGTCAACCATGGAGCCATCTTTTCAGTCCTCTGCCTCCTCTTCCTCTCTCTCTCTCTCTCTCTCTCTCTCTCTCTCTCTCTCTCTCTCTCTCTCTCTCTCTGTGTGTGTGTGTGACTGAGAGACTGAGAGAGACAGGTAGGTAGATCTCTGAGTTAGAGGCCATCCGGGTCTACATAGTTCCACATCAGTCAAGGCTACATAATTATGCCCTGATTCAATAAATCAAAGCCCAAAACTATGTTATGTATGTATGTATGTAGTATCTGTTTATTTATCTATTTATTTATTGGGGAAAGGGGACACAAGTGTCACGGCAAGCCTGGAGGACAGGACACCTTGTAGGAGTTGGGTTTTGCTGCCATGTTAGTTCTGGGGATACAATGCTGGTCATCAGAGTCCTCTTGTGTACCATGTTACTGGCCTCTGTTCTGCCCTTTCCCTCTCTAAGACTCATTTTTGGCAGGTTCTCCCCAAGTATTTCCCCAAGCAGTAGCCCTGCCGTATAGCATGGTCTAGGCTGGCAACTTTAGTTTGGGAAAGCAAAATAAGTGAGAGGTCATTTCTAGGAAAAAGTGGGAGGGCTTGTCTAAACAACTCCAGGGCCTGGTTTAGAAAGGAAGGAGAAAGGAAGAGAGAGGACTCTGGGTAGCTCCTGGCCTAGGGAAGGGAAACTTATTGAGAGCCAAACGTCTACTCAGGGCTGTCACCACTTCCGCTGCCGCTGCCGCTGCCTGCAACATTTGAAATCCAGGCACGAGGGCGGCGGCGGCGGGATCCTGGAGAGGAGATGGAGACGGAGACGTTGAGGCAGTGACTCGATCCAGGAGCTGCCACCCGCAGGGCGTGACCCAAAACAGAGTGACACAGATCTGTGGCGTTGGCGAAGGTCTAGGAGAAAGAGTGGGGCTCAGGGTTCGAGAGGGTGGAACCTGAGCTGCTGGGGTGGGTCTTCTGGGCCAGGGCACGGTCTGCGTGATGAAGCTATGGGCGTTGCTTTGAGGGGCCAGAGCCGGGGGAGGGGCTGAGAACCGAGAGCAAAGAGTTGGTGGGAAAGTCTATAATCTGTGGGCTCTTGGGACGCTACCCACACATCCCACACCGAGGCTGAGAATGTGGAAGAGCGCAGTATGAGCCTAGGGGCTAGGTACATTACAATAGTGCTAGGTACTTGGGAAGAGAGATGGTTCAGCCGGTAAAGCACCTACTGCTGTTATGAAGGACCCAGGTTAGAGTCCTAGCACCCACATGGTAGTTTACAACTGTAATTCCAATTCTAGGGGAGTCTACCCTGTACTGACCTCTTCCAGGCACATAGGTGGGATACATGCAGGCAGCAGGCAAAACACTCATACACAGAATAAGAATAAATCTTTAAAAAAATAAAGATTAGCCCACACTTTTAAAGGGATTCATCTCAGCACTGAGGAGACAGAGGCTAGAGAGTCGTTAAGAGTTCAAGGTCAGCCCGGTGTACCTACTGAGTTTTAGGATAGCAAGAGCTACCTGAAGAGTCCCTATCTTAAAAAAGGTAACTAAAATAAGGATAACAAGAACCCAGATGGTGTTGCATGTCAGTAATCCAGACCATGTTACAAAGCCCATTTCTCTCATCCTCTGTTCCTTACCTGCCCATAGGTGGGGCAGCTGGGCTCACAGCCTCTCTTTCCAGAGGACTGCAGCCAAGTTGGGCCACAAATAAAATCTGTGTGGCAGGTGGTGAACCTGGGTGTGTGAGAAGGGAAGACAAGTTTAAGGCTTGGAGTCAGTGGGCTTCTAAAGACACATGTCCCTCCCTCAAATTAAGGTCTCTTCTCAGGCCCCACTCCCTAAGACACCCAGCGTTTGCAGAGTTTCCTTCTGGAATTTATTGTGTTGTTTGTTTTTGTGAGACTGGGTCTGAAGCTAGTCTAGAAGTTATTTGTGTTACAGGCCATCAACACCACCACAATGTACCCCCCCTTTAAAAATGTTATTTTATTTATTTATTTATGTATCTGTGTACATAGATGTGTGCGTGCGTGTGTGTGTCTGTCTCCAATCCCCTGGAGCTAAAGTTAAAGGTGTTTGTAAACAGCCTGATGTCGGCAGCCAGAACTGAACTCCTGTAGCTGGGCACTGGTAATGCACACCTTTAATTCTGGGGCTCAGGAGGCAGAGGCAGGTGGATTTCTGAGTTCAAGGCCAGCCTGGTCTACAGAGTTCCAGGACAGTCAGGGCTACACAGAGAAACCCTGTCTTGAAGAATAGATAGATAGATAGATAGATAGATAGATAGATAGATAGATAGATAGA